GCGCGACTCATCGAACGTTTCCCTCGCAGTTTCGATTCTTACCGATTCACGTTTCGAGGATAGAGGCCACAGACTCCTTACCTGTTAAGGTCATCTCGTCAGATGATACGAAAACCGATTCTTCCTCGCATTGACATCACTCGCGGAAGAGAGCACGCAGCACGTCGCGTTCGATTCGAGGAAACAGGCAACCTGCACGTTGTTCCGGTCGCGGGCTCCGGCGCTTCGACCGCCAAAGCTTCCGTTCCTCCCTCCGGCGACCTCTTCTTCACTCTGATGACCTGTGGCACAGCACACCCTGCGCCACGAAATCTGACGGCAGGAGGCCCTGCTGCGGTCTAAAATCGTCTCGACACGCCACTCTCGGCTTCGTCGTTTTAACGAAACGCGCACATGCGCCGTTTAACACGCGTTCGGCCCCAACGCCTCTTTTCTCCCTTTCTCCCCTTTCCATCGACACGCCCCTCTATACCCCTCTTTCTTTGGCCTCCTATCTATCCCTGATGTAACCCGGCGCATCGCTGTTTTTTTATCTTTGAATAACTTGTCCCGTATCTTGCTGCGTCTTCGCCTTCCTTTTTCTTTATTATTCCTTCGGTTTTCTTCAACGTCGTTCTCCTTTCCGTTTCAATTTCATTTATTGAGCGATTTATCGAGGAAAATTTGTTGTTTAGTGACGTTTTCTTGCGGCGTGTGTGCGTGCGTGTGTGTGTACGTGTGTTTGCGTAGAGTAAGATTCGATGGAAAATCGAAGATTCAGGTGTTGAAGATCGCTTCCGGTGTAGACGACGGGCTATCGTTGCGTCTGAAACATCGAAGATTAAAATATTGACGGTTCAAATGGTGGAGATTGAACAATTACAGACCGAGAAGTTGAAGATTTAGATATTGAAAATGAAAATGTCGAAGATCGGAACACGCAGTCGTTGCTCGTCTGCGTTAGACCTTAGACTCGGTGCTGATGCGGTGTTGTTGTGATTTCACAGTGGCGATGCTAATAAATATATTGCATATATGTTTAGGTAGACTTAGGCCTGATGCAAACAAACAATGCAACATAGTTGTAATATTGCAACATTGAGGCGGTACGACTCTACGGTTGCGTATTTCTAATGGTGCAAAGCTCGCCAGCGATATTATTATTAGAAATAATAATTTCATTGGATTTCAATGGATTTTCGACGAATGAATCTTTCAAGATATTTTTTCGAAATTCTTGGATTTTCTGCAACAGGCGGTGACTTTAAAGTGTTGGTTTGTAGCGTATAAGCAAATTAGTAGGACGCTACAACAGTGTCTGTTGCTAACGTAAATCAGCAATAACAGTAAGATGAGTGATTTATGAATCTCAAAGAGAGTGATTGACGATTACTAAGATAAAACGATCCGCCTGTTAAATAGTAGCGTATTGTTAGCGATGAAGTACAATGTTATCTTGAAGAAACATAAAATGTTTGGCTTAGGACATAGTATATCAATTGTCTAACGACGTAGGATGTGAATTTTATAATTTCCTCCTTAACGAAAGAAATATCTATAAATTTATTATTTATTTTTCTATAGGTTTTACAATTTCGTCGGTAATTGTTTGATCTACTCGATAAGAAATTTTAAAGGTATGAGATTTAAATAGAAATAATGGTATTTCCGTTATCACGATTTTGATGTTAAGTCTCGCTTTTGTCTTAACGTAGAGCGTCAGAATTAGATAAGGAACGACAGATTCTTGGCCAGCAGCGAATTGTCGTGGTCATGATTCGATGCGAAGTAGCATTCCGCTAGATTAGTATGGTAAGCACAGAGTGTACATAAATATTTCGATGTGATAAGTTTTCAATCATTCCTGATATTTCTTATGCGAAAAATTAAAAAAAATGACACAAAAATGTACGGATTAAAAATATTAACGTAACATACATGTATGACAACATTCGCGAATAATTGCATTTTAAACGACTGAAATAAGAAATACACGGAGAATAGGATAATTGAAGAAAGAGAAGAATCGGTTTGAAATTCAACAGTTATGTACACATTTATTGCGAGTAAGAATATTCATAATAAATAGGAATAAATAATAATAACAATAATAATATATCATTGTCGTTAAATATAATCTCTTAAAATATACTATTATCTTTGGTACTCGTTTGGTATAATTCCTCAATGAAATACAACGATTGGCTCCTTAATAGGTGCACCTCGATAGGTGCACTTGACAGATTGCCACGATGTATCTCGAAGTCTACAAACTTAAATCGGCACGCTGCAATGACGCTGCATCGAAGGTCAGGAATTTGATCTTCGAATAATCATCGTTCGGACTATGATCACCTTTTTGCAGCAATTTTCCCTTTCGAGAGTTGAGAATCTCCTCGATACTTTGATCTTCCGCGTATATAACAATTTTTCCTAGAACATCACTGGAATTCATTCGAATATTTGCTTCAAACAATCCCGCAAATTTCTATTGCAAATTTCATCGTTGTTTTTGGTTCGAATCCAATCGAATCTTATTCTAAATTTCCCATCGCGAACTGCAAACGTTTCTACGTATTTCAATAGCAGATTTTATCGTTGCTCTCCTTTCGAATTCGTTCCAATTTCTATTGCAAAGATATAGAAATTTTCGTGAATTCCTATCGCATATTTTATCATTCCTTTGGTTCTGAATCCATTCGAATTTTATTGGAAATTTTCTGTCGCGAAGCGCAGATATACAAACAAATCATTATTGCTTTCGTTTGAACCACCATCCTTCCACCACTCTTCCCTTAATCTCTTCCGACACTCTTCTATAGAGCAACAACGCGATGAAAGGAATAGCCATAGTCTCCTTCTTAAACAAATAAACATAAACAGCCGCCAATAACAAAGTTAGGTCAGTTATATATCCCACCGTTGACCTAACGTTATGCTTAGCCTCCATTGCCAATTGTTCCTCGTTCAGTCGACTCTCACGCCAAGCTTTCTCAGGATACTCTCTCTTTGCACTGGACCCACGTCTGGAAGACCTATACTTTTTACTCTCAAGAGCTTTCTGTAAACGTTCCATCTTCAATTCCACCGGTGTTTCAGCTCTATTTCTGTCTCTAGAACTAGACCTCGAAGATGCCTTCGAAGAAGGTTTCCTCGATCGACGAGGACCTTCATCGACAGATCTCTCTCGGACAAATCGCTGTTCCTCCGAGCCAGTTCTCGAAGGAGGTCTTCTATCTTGTGACGGAGCTCTGACTCTGGTCTTGGAGGAGGATCTTGAAGAAACTCCTCTTTCTACGGATACGTTTCGTGACCTCGATATGGGTGACTGGCTCCTTGAACTTGGCCTACTCGTTCGTTTCTCTTTTACAGGCTTCGTGTCCCTAGCTGGAGTCGTTCCTCGAGAACCAGCAGCTCTTTTAACCTGCGACTTCTCCTGTTTATCAACTTCACTTTTCTTCGTCTCTTTCGTCTGTTGAACCTGTTGAATTTCTTTAACGCCTTGTCTTCCATTTAGTTTCTCAGAGATCATGCTTATTATAGCACGATCCTTTACCTGATTTACATCTTGGTCCTCGGAAAACGAAGATCTTCTAGAACTAGCTATACTGTCTCCGAGCCTCCTCTCCTCCGAGCTTCTATAATTAAACCGATTAGAGTGTTCTCTGACAATCTCGGTATAGTGATTAACCATTGCCATTCGTGCCTCGATATCCTCCTCGTCGACCTCTTCTTCCGGTGTAGTGGTCCTTGCCTTTGCCTGGATTCTGCGATTCTTCGCAGCTTCGCCAGCTGATAATACACTGTCAGTGTCAGATTCGGACATGACAGGTACCTTAAGAGGCTCAGATGTGATTGCTGCCTTTACTTGTTCTTCTTCATTCCTATTCACAGCTTGAACATTCGGAGGAAGTGATTTTCTAATTGGTTTCTCAGGAGGAATCGGTCTACCAAAGCTGTTCAGTGGAATCGGTTCTTCTTTAGGCTTTTTCAGTATAGATTTGGGAACAACAGTAGTTGGCGATACAGGAGCAACTGTTTTAGGAGGCGTTGGCGGTGTGACATCTAAAATAGGTATCCTGTGTGGAGGAATTGGTGGTAGTTCCGGTTCCACGTGTGGAACAGGCCTTCCTCTTGGATGATACGTGTCTTCTTCATCCAATACCAGCCTGCCAAGAATTCTGGTCTTCAGAAGCTTCAAGTCTTCACTGTCAGCAGTGCTGACCTCTTCCGATGATTCTTCAGATGTTTCGATACTCTCTTCTTCCTCGTCTTCTATTTCCTCTTCTTTCGTCTTTTCTTCTATTTGTGAGCTTTGTTTCGATATCGGAGACAAATTATCTATTTGTGAGGTGTCTGGGAACATCTCCTCGTTGCGCGGAGTATCTTCATTGGCGCTGGGCTGCCAGGGTATCGATTCTTCTGGTGGTTTCTCTTCGACCAATGGTATGTTGGCGTCGTGCCACCTGCGCAGTGGTATGGTCGTGTTTTCTGGCTTGTCCAGCCCCCATGAAGTGACAATTGGATTCTCTGAATCGCCAGGTATATTGGGATCAGACATTGCTTCGACGTCTGGCAATAAATTAGGAATTAGTATTTTTAATGGACTTTTAATTTTTTCTGGTAGGCCTTCGCTTAGCCTTCTGCGATTTTTCCTTGACTGCCAATTCGTTGGAATTGGCGAAGTGACAATAGGGTTGGATAGCCGTCGTTTGAAGATGTCAGTTTCTGCCTCGGTGGCTGGTTTAGTTTCCATTGTTGTGGCCAGTTCTCCGGTTGTTCGTTCGACTTGCACTTTTCTTTTGGCTACTTCGGAAGCTTCTTCGGCTGCCACTGCACGATAGAAACGTTCCATGGCACGTTCGTGAAGAAGTTCTGTGGAGCTCACTGCTTCGCGGAGGGTTTCGACTACTTGGTGTTCCACGCTGAATAATTCTGGAAGGGAGAGAGACATGGGTGGCGGTATCAGGTCTTCGATATCCTCTATGATGTCCCCTGTGATTTGTGGCGTTTCTGTGAATCGAAAAATTACTCTGAATTATTTCACTGCTCTAAATCCTAGTAGCGATATAGCAAAACCCATCATTGATCTTTTCAGAATGAAATTTTTATTGATATTTTGCATCCTGATTGTTGGAAATGTTCAATCAGCGATAGCACAGTTTTAATGTATCGATCTTTTTAAACCCTTCTTTTCCAATAGATATTCCTATCTTTAAAAATGTGTCATTTTACGTCATTCCGAATTTGAGAACATTCTATTTCACATATTAACATTTTTTAACATTTATATATATAATCTCTTTCTAGAATTGAATGAAGCATGAATTCTTAAAAATTGAATATTTAACGTATTGAAACCT